CGCACTATGTGCATGCGGGCCAAGGTGACTACTAGACCCCCTGCCCTACGCACTATGTGCATGCGGGCCAAGGTGACTACTAGACCCCCTGCCCTCCTGCCCCCTGCCCCCTGCCCCCTGCCCCTAGGGCCCTCTCCTGCTACGCGATTGGGTACCGTCTCTGGGTTTCATAGCTAGCAGGGGGGGTAGGGGGGCGCTGGCTTTGAGGAGGACCGCCTGCCGCCTACATAGTAATCCCCCCCCGGTGGGCGTCTCGTCCTGCGAGGGTAAGGCTGTCTCATTCTTTTTTCTATCCCCTCTGAGAAACAAACTCTGATGCTTGCTGCTGATAAGCAACGAGACTGCTGCCCCCCAGAATAGATGGGGCCTTGTGTTTCAAAAAAAAAAAAAAAAAAAAAAAAAAAAAAGCATACAAGGATGCTCTTCTCTGTCTCTTTCGTGTCAGTCAGAACTTGTGTCGATGTGAGTTGGTGATAAAGCAATCAGATTGACGCCCAAAAAAAAAAAAAAAAAGCAACCAGACTGATGCCCCCGAGAAGAAAAATAGAAGGGGCCTATGTTTTTCTAAAAAAAAGCAAGAAAGAAAGGAAGGGAAGCAATAAGAAGATCCCAGGGCTCGACCCCTGGTCCTCACTTCACCTGTGTACAGTATCTGAGTCGACCCTGAGAGTTGAACCCATGACTTGTGTATTCGCAGTAGTTGGTGGGCTGTCGTAGGTCCGTAGGTTGTAGGAGTTCGATCTGTAGACCTGTCGTTGTAGGTCTTAGCAGGCCCTAGGAATCGTAGCTGTAGCCCCTCCGAAGGGTCAAAGTCGTAGCTGCTGTAGTCCTGAAAGGTCAAGGTCGTAGCTGCTACGGTACCGAAAGGCCAAGTCTACGGACTTCCGGAAGGTCCAGAAGTGGCCTTTCGGAGCCTGCTTACGTGTAGACAGAGGCAAGTGGGCAAGTGGCGAGGCCAGCTGCAGTACGTCGGCAGTGCGACTGCAGCGAGTTGGCAATACGTCCCAATGCAGTCAGTGGTATCAGTCCCAGTCAGTTAGGGTCCAGTCAAGCAAGTACCGTGTGGGACTGTGTGCACCCAGGGCATGGGAAAGGGGCAGACCAACGAGCTATAGAAGTATAAAGCAAGAGGCATCGACTAGTCACCCAGGGCATGGGAAAGGGGCAGACCAACGAGCTATAGAAGTATAAAGCAAGAGGCATCGACTAGTCATTCATTTTCATTCGCTGCGTAAGCCATGTGAAAGCGCTGCTTCAGCGTCTTGTGCAAGGGTGGTCTGCAGGTTGCCCGAAGACGAAGTGGGCTGAAGGGAGATCGTAGCCATAGTCAGTAGTGGTACTGCAGCGATA